AAATTTTCTAAGTGTACACCGGGCTCTAGAGGCTAAAGTTAATATCTGATTGACTTTAAATTTATATACAGTGTTTAAGGCCATGAGACGAAGAAGCCTATACATTTTCAGCGATTTTCTATAATTACTGCCAGAGTTATGGCCCTTGATCACTTAAAAAAATCTTGTCGACGCTCTAGAGGCAAAAGTTAATATCCGATTGACTTTAAATTTATACACAGTGTTTAAGGTCATGAGACGAAGAAGTCTATTCATTTTCAGCGATTTTCGATAATAACTGCCAGAGTTATGGCCCTTGATCACTTCAAAAAATCTTGTGGACACTCTAGAGGCCAAAGTTAATATCCTATTGACTTTAAATTTATACACAGTGCTTAAGGTCATGAGACAAAGAAGCCTATTGATTTTCAGCAATTTACGATAATTACTGCCAGAATTATGGCCCTTGATCACTTTGAAAAAACTTGTGGACACTCTAGAGTCTAAAGTTAATATCCGATTGACTTTAAATTTATACACAGTGTTTAAGGTCATGAGACGAAGAAGTCTATTTATTTTCAGTGATTTTCGATAATTACTGCTAGAGTCATGGCCCTTGATCACTTCAAAAAATCTTGTGGATGCTCTAGAGGCTAAAGTTAATATCTGATTGATATACACAGTGTTTGAGGTCACGAGGCGAAGAATCCTATTGATTTTCAAAGGTTTCCAATAATTACTGCCAAAGTTATGGCCCTTGATCACTTTGAAAAATCTTGTGACGCTCTAGAGGCTATTCTAAAGTTATCATCCGATTGACTTCAGATTGATACACAGGGTTTAAGATCTTGATACAAACAAGTAAATTTTTATGTTCTGAACAGCTAAATCCATGATATTAATTAAAAGTTTTGTATACTAAGTGTTAGAATGGGGTAGAACTTTATAAAAACCAAACAAATTCTAATGGTTTTCTGGTAATTACGCTTAATCAGATTTTAGTGTATTATAAATGTTTCATTACCGAAAAAAGTAAAAATATGCAACAGCACTTGTTGACTGCCCGGACGATTTAGCTGCTGTGGGTGTATGTTTTGTTGCCTGGCAACCTATCTTTGATTATTTTAGTGAGAACTGCCAACTCGTTATCGAATCTCCCATAATGTATCTTTAACAAAAACAATAGTGTTTCACACAAGCTATATGCAGTGTGAAACCCAAATGATCATTCATAATATTCTTCAATACTAAAGTATAAATATTCCTCAATACATGGGGAAAATAAGAATTTAAAGATGGTTTCTTGCTGTAAAGATATATCCCTGTATGTCCATGTGTGTATTCTAGTAATGTAAATGTCAGTGTTCTTTACATCTCTTGTAAATATATTACATCAATATGTTCATAAGGTGACTTTTCTACCTCAGTTGTAGAGGCCAGCTTTGATGTCAGCACGCCTCTGCTTATATGGTGTTAAGGATTACACATCTCGTGTGGTTTATATTGGCTAATATTATTGAGGGCATTAGGCTAACTGGATTCAATGGTGAATGGTTGCATGCTACCCTTAGATCCTGAACTTTTATATAAATATTTATGGACTTTAGCAGTTTGTAGATACACATGTACAGAATAAATCTGGTTTATTAACTTAAATATTACTTGGTAGATCACCAAATCCTAACATATATAGTAAACAATTCTATATTAACCATCCAATATGAAAACATTATTTTCAATATAATTTAAAACTACATGATTTCTATACACCTATGTGGAAATGTGGTTGTATATTGTCGTCGGCACCATCTGTTGATCCATTGGTCCTTTGTCCACAATTTCTTATGAACACTCCACAGACTACATTTATTCTCCAGTCTTTTTAAAATATATACATGTTGTTAACATTAGTGAGATGAAGAAGCCTTTTGAATTTTAACAAATTCTGTAAATTACTTCTAGAGTTATGGTCCTTTTTTTCACTTTATAGACCCTAGTGATAAGGACAAAAGTTATCTTACGATCTGCATTAATTTTATATGTATTATTTAAATTAGCAATATGACAAAAGTTATATCTAGAGTTATGGCCGTTGTTTTTTTTGAGGGTACATGTATGTTGAGTTAGTTGTCTTGTATACATGTATTTTAGGTTCTACATGTATTCCTGATTAACAGATGAAATTACTTTTAATTCAGATATAGATAAAAAAAAAAATAATAATTTATAATCAATTTATAAATTGAAATCTTAATACAGTTTACAAAAAAAACTATTTTCAAAAACCAATATATTCGATCAAACATTTCTGCATCAATATGAAGAAAAATAAACGAGGGAGACATTTTTTAGTGCAGTATATGGAATCAAAAGGATATTCTTCCTCCTATTCCAAATTATTTTGTTGAATACTGGCACACGGTGTTTGAAATGAACGCTGAGCTTTAGAAGACTAATTTCAAGTTTCTTTTCAGATTGAGGGAAGCTTTTAGTCCAGGAGCTAATGACAAAATAATATGGTCATCAGTTACAAAAGGTTTGACCCCCCAAATTTGTAGCAGGTGTCGTGTCGAGTAAAAATCAATTGGAGGGGGGCAGGTCTTTTATGAAAATTCAACCCTTCTTGGTGTAAAACAGTACACTCGCCTTGCCGCCTAATTTATTTTTTTGTGGCAAGTGTAAATAAAATGAACGGTAGCCCAGCTGTCTCTAGGATTCGGTAGAATTAACGGTAGAATGAGTACATTAAAAATTGATCATAAAACTGAAAGTACGACACCATTTGCGAAATCCAAACCATTATCATTGTAGTGCCGTAAATTGGTCTGGGGTGACCTATTTATGGCAAATATACAAATTTAAAGACCGTAGAATTGTAAAATGAATAGACCAACACAACTTCTAAATAAAAATAAACAAAATACCAATACTTCTTTCTTTAAACTAATTTGGGATGATAGGGTCTACTACGGCACACAAAAATAAATTATGCCGTGGCAGACATGGTCTGCGTCGGTTTTTACCGTGGCTTTGCCGTTTGCTGTGGTAAATTTCAAGCGCTGAGTTTGTGTACAGAGAAGGACGAAGGGGTTTAAATACGACTGGGCGGCTTTCTTCGATTTTTTTCTTTGTGCTGCGTAACTTATGACCATATAAAAAGCCCTGTTTTTAGGGTGTGGTTGGACATACTTTAGAGCGATCTGACTTGGGGAAAGCCCCAAAATTTTTGGTTAGATTTTTGAAAATTGTATTTACCAAGTGTGGATCTTTGTTTCTGGTTAGTTTCAGCCATGTAACTGATGACCATATTATTCGCCCCATGAGGCGATATTGGATGTGGTCTGACTTAGGGAAAGCCCCAGAAATTTTGGTTAGATTTGTGAAATATTTACTTCGACTATGGATACCATTGTCCCTAGAAAGTTTCAGCCAAGTAACTTATGACCTAATTTTAAGCCCCCTGGGGGGTACTTTAAGGTGCTACTGCGGCTGTACGCCCCAGTAGTGCCTGATCTGACCAACTGATTTTTATACAATTGCTTGTGGACGCTCTAGAGGCTAAAGTTAATATTCGATTGACTTTAAATTTATACACAGTGTTTAAGGTCATGAGACGAAGAAGCCTATTGATTTTCAGCGATTTCCGATAATTACTGCCAGAGTTATGGCCCTTGATCACTTCAAAAATCTTGTGGACGCTCTAGAGGCTAAAGTTAATATCCGATTGACTTTAAATTTATACACAGTATTTAAGGTCATGAGACGAAGAAGCCTATTGATTTTCAGCGATTTCCGATAATTAATGCCAGAGTTATGGCCCTTGATCACTTCAAAAAATCTTGTGGGTGCTCTAGAGGCTAAAGTTAATATCCGATTTACTTTAAATTTATACACAGTGTTTAAGGTCATGAGACGAAGAATCCTATTGATTTTCAGCGATTTCTGATAATTACTGCCAGAGTTATGGCCCTTGATCACTTCAAAAAATCTTGTGGATGCTCTAGAGGCTAAAGTTAATATCCGATTGACTTTAAATTTATACACAGTGTTAAAGGTCATGAGACGAAGAAGCCTATTGATTTTCAGCGATTTTAGATAATTACTGCCAGAGTTATGGTCCTTGATCACTTTCAAAAATCTTGTGGACGCTCTAGAAGCCAAAGTTAATATCCGATTGACTTTAAATTTATACACAGTGTTTAATGTCATGAGACGAAGAAGCCTATTGATTTTCAGCTATTTCCGATAATTACTGCCAGAGTTATGGCCCTTGATCCCTTTGAAAAATCTTGTGGACGCTCTAGAGGCTAAAGTTATTATCCGATTGACTTTGAATTTATACACAGTGTTTAATGTCATGAGATGAAGAAGCCTATTGATTTTTGGGTATTTCTGATAAGTTCTGCCAGAGTTATGGCCCTTGATCACTTTGAAAAATCTTGTGACGCTCTAGAGGCTAAAGTTATCATCCGATTGACTTCAGATTGATACACAGAGTTTAAGGTCTTGAGACGAACAAGTATATTGATTTTCAATGAATTTTTATGACTTGAACAACTAAATCCATGATGTTAAAAATGTTCTATACTAAACATTAGCATGGGGCAGAACTTTATAAAAACCAAACAAATTCTAATGGTTTTCTGATAATTACTTAATGAGTTGTTACTCTTTATCAATTTTAATGTATTATAAATGTTTAATTACCGAAAAAAGTAAAAATATGCGACAACTCTTGTTGACTCCCCGGACGATTTAGCTGCTGTGGGCGTATGTTTCGTTGCCTGGCAACCTATCTTTACAAATTTTGGGGGTTCAAACCTTTTGTAACTGATGACCATATTATTTTGTCATTAGCTCCTGGACTATTTGTTTTAAGCCCTTCAACATTTTATTCATTTTCTAGCACATCACTGGACATACAAATACTGTATAGTAGTCCTTCTCTAAATGAAAATAAACAATTGATATATTAAGAATATAGTAGAAATACAGGTAATTGTGTTTTTTTTATTTTTCAGATATATAGGATTTAAAGACTCAATAACTATCAGTGTATGGAATCATAAAAAAATCTATAAAAAACAAGGTGCTGGATTTTTAGGATGTGTACGGATAATGTCCAATGCTATTCAACAATTGAAAGATACTGGATGTAAGTATTCTGTATTTATTAAATACATTGGAATGATGAGTTAAATGTACTTCATGTAAATCTTGTGTTATTAAGTACATTGATTTTAGTAGAAAGATTGGGTATAATGTCAAGTCTATATCATGTGGTCTCCATACACCAGTGTTTGAAATGAAATGTTGTTATCTACATATTATGTATCTTTAAGGATATTTATAGAACAATTTTTATACGCCCACATTAAAATGTGGTCGTATATTGTCGTCACCCCTGTCCGTCCGTCCGTCTCTAGAGGCTAAAGTTAATATCCGATTGACTTTAAATTTATATACAGTGCTTATGGCCATGAGACGAAGAAGCCTATTGATTTTCAGTGATTTCCGATAATTACTGCCAGAGTTATGGCCCTTGATCACTTCAAAAGATCTTGTGGACGCTCTAGAGGCCAAAGTTAATATCCGATTGACTTTAAATTTATACCCAGTGTTTAAGGTCATGAGACGAAGAAGCCTATTGATTTTCAGAGATTTCCGATAATTACTGCCAGAGTTATGGCCCTTGATCACTTCAAAAAATCTTGTGGACGCTTTAGAGGCCAAAGTTATTATATCCTATTGATTTTAAATTTATACACAGTGCTTAAGGTCATGAGACGAAGAATCCTATTGATTTTCAGCAATTTACGATAATTACTACCAGAATTATGGCCCTTGATCACTTTGAAAAATCTTGTGGACGCTCTAGAGTCTAAAGTCAATATCTGATTGACTTTAAATTTATACACAGTGTTTAAGGTCATGAGACAAAGAAGCCTATTCATTTTCAGTGATTTTCGATAATTACTGCCAGAGTTATGGCCCTTGATCATTTCAAAAAACCTTGTGGATGCTCTAAAGGCTAAAGTTAATATCTGATAGACTTTAAATTTATACACAGTGTTTGAGGTCACGAGGCGAAGAATCCTATTGATTTTCAAAGATTTCTGATAATTACTGCCAGAGTTATGGCCCTTGATCACTTTGAAAAATCTTGTGGACGCTCTAGAGTCTAAAGTTAATATCTGATTGACTTTAAATTTATACACAGTGTTTAAGGTCATGAGACGAAGAAGCCTATTCATTTTCAGTGATTTTCGATAATTACTGCCAGAGTTATGGCCCTTGATCACTTCAAAAAACCTTGTGGATGCTCTAAAGGCTAAAGTTAATATCTGATAGACTTTAAATTTATACACAGTGTTTGAGGTCACGAGGCGAAGAATCCTATTGATTTTCAAAGATTTCTGATAATTACTGCCAAAGTTATGGCCCTTGATCACTTTGAAAAATCCTGTGGACGCTCTAGAGGCCAAAGTTAATATCCGATTGACTTCAGATTGATACACAGAGTTTAGGATCTTGAGACGAACAAGTATATTGATTTTCAATGAATTTTTATGACTTGGAACAGCTAAATCCATGATATAGTATTAAAATTTTTGTATACAAAACGATAGCATGGAGCAGAACTTTATAAAAACCAAACAAATTCTAATGGTTTTCTGGGTTGTTGCTCTTAATCAGATTTTAGTGTATTATAAATGTTTCATTACCGAAAAAAGTAAAAATATGCGACAACTCTTGTTGACTGCCCGGACGATTTAGCTGCTGTGGGCGTATGTTTCGTTGCCTGGCAACCTATCTTTTAAGAGTAAGTTGAGGTTTCAGAGTTCTTCCATTATGCAGACCAAGTGTAATTATTTTTCTATCAAACTATTATATTAACCCAAAAATAAATAATTGCCATTTTAGATATATCTTAACAGTTTCTCATATATTGTGATAAATCAAATTAATTTGAGAAAACGAATTAATACAAAAAAGTGCATTTATTTAATTCACACCTTACTAGGTAATGTTTAGTATCGGCTGGCAGCTAGCTGTGGAAAAGTACTTTTCAATTGTAAATTAATTGAGAGAGTGAAAGCAGTCTGATAATATTACCATTAGATATTAATCAAGGGCATTGATATTCTGATTTAAGATTAAAATACAAGTTAAGTGAAACATTACATAATATTGTAATGATTTATATAGATGTAGAGTTAAATGTTATGTAAGTACTGATTAACTAGAAGAACTACTAGTCTTGTTTTATTACAACACCTGTTTTCTGTTAATGTCATTAGATAAGATAACAGCAGGTATATTTGATATAAACCTGTGTTTTCTACCACTATAAATATATTTACCTGGTTTTATCTTACTATCATGTAGACTTTTATCATATTTACCTCCTTTTCCTCTAGAACCATTACTATTTAGTTTTGCAGAAAAAAATTTGGTATCTCAATTTACTGTCTAGGATCTTAAAGACTCATTAGTGGCATTAGTTAGCATTTTGGAGATCTTTGCTGGTTGGTAAAAAAAATTAGATTTGACTATCAAAGTTGCATCAGAGATTTTCAAAATAAAAGTATTTTATTTTAATAAATAAATCCAGCCCAAACCATCACTTAGATAAGCTTACACTATAATTATTAAGTTTCAATTAACATAGACTAGTGAAATATACATTCATTAAGGGATCAGTGCTGGTATTTTCGATAATTAATGTTTGGGTCCTTTAAACTGGATTACTCCACCTACATGTACATGCATATACTGTTGGATTGCACAACACCCACCTTATTGTGAAACCTGCCTAATATCAAATCATATTAATAGTGATGTTTTAGTATATATTTAGGATAAGTCTGGATGTGTAAATTTCTATTCATTTACTTGTAGATCAATCTATCATCAATGATTTTATCTTCACATACCTGTTTATTTGTAATAAATGTTAGAATTCTGTTGGTTTGTAGATACTGAATTAAAACATGTAGGAAATATAACATTTGTATGATATAATGAAGAAGTTTAATTATTTGTTAATATATTGATTGTAACTGTGAATATATATACTATGTCTATAGACTGAAGGTTGATAAATATCAGTAGGTTGTAACTTGATATATACTCGGTCTAAATCCAGCTCTTTCTCTCTCTCTCTCTACTCCTAGACAGCCACACGCCACAAACATACTACTATTTACACTTAATTCATGGCATGGGATGGAACGTTCTTCATGATTCTTCACCCAGTTCGGGCAAAATGGCCATCATCAGTTTACGTAGACGTCGTTTTAGTGCACCTTGTATATTTGTTTCAGTTCAACGATTGGATTTACAACGACAGAATTCGGATGACAGTGATGCAATCCGTGGACAAATTGTGATAAGTCTGATATCACGGGATCGAGGTGGTGCCGGACCATCAGTTACTGATAGTACTGTAATTACTCCTGCAATACCATGTGATCCTAATGAACTACCTGAAGGGTAAGTAATATATTTACTATGAACCTATCTTTAAAGTCACAACATGCCAGAATAATGGTTATATATTGAAATTTGTATTGCTTACAGCCCATCATCTTTGTGTGTTTTGAACACATAAACTAATAATGATTCATTGTGTTTTTCATACAAGCCATCCAAATTCTCACAGAGGTGTTTTTTTTATACTTAGATGTGCTTATTTACTCATATAATAATACATTTTAACTTTTAAGATGTCTGTAAACAATTATGGAATCATGTTTGTGTGTTGACCCTAAATGGGGTGTTTAGATACAATCTTATCTTATATCATTTACACCAGATTGATGAGGATGGGTATAATCTTTCCTGAAATTCACTATATTTTACACATAAATATTGTATAATATAAATGTTTTGATAATGATGTACATAATATGCTGAAATACATTTTAAAAAAGGATTCTGAAATCTAAATGGAACACTGGAGAAATAGACAGTACAAACAACATACATGTAGATTAAAAAATATTCTTACTACTAAGTTATCGAAATAAATGCCAATGAATCACACTCACATGTTTGAAAATCATCCTGGTTGGGATTTTATCTTGTAATATTTTCAAAAGCTTTCAAATTTAAACTGTTAGTGGTGAGATTTACTATCAACAAGTTCTTAGTGTCAATTGGGTTCTTTAAGAGAAAATGGAATGATTCCACTAAGTATCAAATACATTGCATGAGAATATTTAAATTCAAAATGTAAACATGAAGATACATGTAACTACAACCTATGGTCCAAACAATTCTGTGCTAGATTCTTCCTTCTCTAACAACTAATCTTATAAGATTTCTACTGTATCATGTTTATATAAGATTTAAACACCTGACAATTTGCATTTTCTATTTAATAACATTTCCTTATGCATTTAAATATGTATTACAACATTTGTCTAATGTTTGACAAATATAGTTTGTCTATGTAAGCTAGCGTTCTCTAAACCTAATTATTTTGTATCTTAATATAATCTTTGATAGATTTTGAGTTTCAAAATTAGGTTTTTGTTTTCTTCTACAAACTGGCAACCACACATCTTTGGATGACCGAGCATTGTACAGTTTGTGGCTTATAAAAAGACTCTATTTTTAATAGATATCATTTGCAATTAACAAACATACAATATCAGCCAATGGTGAATGGCAGAATTCCGTTGCTATCTTGATGGCAAAATTTATGTCAGTAATTGAGTTCAGTCGTACATTAAAGTCTCGTAAAGTTGAATCTCTAATAGTATAGGAATATCAGTCCAAAAATGGTTGAATTATGTTCAGTACTTACAAACGTATGTTTATTGAAATTTAATCAATCTATGCTGCTTGCTTATGCAATAAATCCGTCGCCATTCTGTTGTCCGCGAATAATTATTGAGGCGTGTATTTTAAATCTGATTGAATCCAATTTTGTTTTGTTAATTGTTAAATAATCAGAGTACTTATTGAATATTGATGTGGATTAAGCCGTAAGAAATTTGATCATTACTGTAAGATAAATTAAAATCAGAATGAAGTATTAATAATAGGCAGTCTAAAACTATGCCTAAGTACAGGATGCCTAAGTTTAATACTAATCTCAAATTTTATGTGCATGAAAAGTAAATATTATGTTTTTTCTGTTTTTTTAGGACTTTGTTCTATTTTTTTTTTTTTTTTTTTAAGATATTTGTGCTAGTTTTGAAACTGTTTTAGAATATATAAATATAGCTTTGGTTTGTGGTTACACAGTTGCCTACATTATGTCATACAAACCAAATTGGTTGCAAGCCAATTTTCAGGTAAACTTCAGGTATTAAATAAAGCTCAGAATGCAAAATGATTTTAAAGCACATTACATGAAAAAGAGTGTTAATCTGGAGTTGTATGTGTTAATGTTGAAGTCTTTGATCATTATAAATTGAGGGATTGCAGATCAAACTACAATACCTAAAATGGTTCAATCCCATCAAGTATTTACAAGATAGATTGACTTGATAATTTGTCCACATTCGACATCCTCTGTAGACAGTATTAATCACATATGGTGAAAACAGGTCAAATAGATTATCTGTGATCATTGATAATTAAACGTTGAATAATCAGTTTGAGTAAATTTTAACCTGAATTAAGCTGTGAGAAATTAAATATTTTCCAAAAAATGGAAATGAAGATCACCAGTTTTAATTAATGATTTTTTTGATTTTTTTTTTTTTTTTCTACCAATTATAAAGGTTATCCCAAAATGAAAATGGTACTTAAAAAATTGATGTCTTTCCCCTTACATTCGGTGTTTTGTATATTTTACCTTAAACATACATTATGCAAGAGCTAAATCTGCCTATTGCAGGTCTTTCTTTAGGCCTGAAATGGTATCTAAATTATTAATTAGACATTAATTAACTTATCCAGACCATAATCAACTCTTGATGTCATCTTATGTGTTGGATTTTCACTGGATTTGATTCTAATCTGCTGCTAAACACTCATTGATGATTAAATCCAAAAATGGATAATCGAGACAATGTTTTTTATGTTACTTACTTTAGTCATGATGATCGAGGTTAGGCTTAAAATTCAAAAGCTGATACCTCGGTTCAGAGTAGAGCAATTTGACTGAAATTTTTAACATATTCTATTTATGTTATCTATTTATTAACTTTTATATGAGAACAGTCAACTCTTTATCTAATCTCCCATAATGCCTCTTTAAGAATCTCCACTCTGTGTGGATTGTGGTAATCAGTCATTTTGAATGAATGATTTCTCTTTTTTTTTTTGCTGGGTGTTGGATGGCCGAATGGTTAACGTGTGCGCGTTGTATCATAAGGTCTTTCATTGAGTCAAATGGCGTGGTTTTGATTCCCCGGTTGTGCGGATAAGGAGTAGGGTCGCCTGTCCAACCTTGTGGGTTTTCTCAGGGTCCCACTGTTTCCTCCCACTGCTAAAGACACCTATACACAAGTGAATTATTGAAATAAAATTGCACCATATGTTAGTCCTGAAATTACCTAGTTTGTGTCGAGTGGAGGTTAAACCGTCTCTCTCTTTTTTTCTGTGGTTGTGTGTACCAAGAATTAAGAGACATCACAGTAGGATTCAGACTACAGTTTGAATTGTATGTTTTAATTACCTAAAGGTTTACTTGTCCTTATTTAGAGTTAATAGTAATTAAGAATTATTTGTAATTTGTACAAGGTACATTTATATAACTACACCTGTTAGTAACTAAAGTAACTTGTCAACAAATACACCTAGTTTAGTTCAACAAACATTTAAAGGTCAAAGTTTATACTTTAAATGTCTTAAATACCAACAGACTCTTGTTCACTCTTCTTGAATTATAAATGTTTAAACTAAATATAAAATGGCCATGGCCTATTCAGTTTGGATTCTGTTGCTATATAGCAATCATATTATAATTCTGTTGTTTTCTGACATTAAAAATGTCTTTTATTAGTTTTATGTGAATGTCTTGACCGATTTCGATAATGATCATTTACTGCTCAGGTTAAGCAGATTGATTTGTTCCGACTTCTTCTAATTGAGATAGAATGTTCAGACTTGTTCTAGATATAGTAATTTTATTGGTTGAAACTTTGGAAGACAATAACTTCGATTCTAGTTGGGTGAGACTGAGAAACTTGGCGTTTGATTTCACTACATCAATAACTTGACTAAGATTGATCATGGGCATTTTCTGCTCAATCTAAGTAGAGATGAGCAATTTTTATACGTCCACAATTTTCATGTGGACGTATTATGCCGTCGCCCCTGTCCGTCCGGACGTCCGTCCGTCCACAATTGTTTGTGTACTCTCTACAGGTCACAATTCTTATCCGATTTTGACGAAACTTGAAATATAGGTTTATCCCCAAAAGATCTCGGCTGCTTTCGATATTGGCATGTATCGGATCGAAACTTCATGGATTATGGCCCCCTGATTGTACGAAAAATCACGTTTTTAGCTTGTGGACCCTATAGAGGTCACAATTTGAAATGTAAGTTTATAACCCAAAGATCTCGGTTCCTTTCGATATTCGCGCATATCGGACCGTAACTTCCTGAATTATGGCCCCTGATTGTGTGAAAAATCGCGTTTTTAGCTTGTGGACCCTATAGAGGTCATAATTTTTATCCGATTTAAAAAAACGTATTATGATATCACCGTTACACCCTAAGGAAGGCCGAGTTCAAATTTCATGAAAATCGGCCCAAAATTGACAGACAAAATGGCCGTTGTTCGTTCTCAACAAATACACCTAGTTTAGTTCAACAAACATTTAAAGGTCAAAGTTTATACTTTAAATGTCTTAAATACCAACAGACTCTTGTTCACTCTTCTTGAATTATAAATGTTTAAACTAAATATAAAATGGCCATGGCCTATTCAGTTTGGATTCTGTTGCTATATAGCAATCATATTATAATTCTGTTGTTTTCTGACATTAAAAATGTCTTTTATTAGTTTTATGTGAATGTCTTGACCGATTTCGATAATGATCATTTACTGCTCAGGTTAAGCAGATTGATTTGTTCCGACTTCTTCTAATTGAGATAGAATGTTCAGACTTGTTCTAGATATAGTAATTTTATTGGTTGAAACTTTGGAAGACAATAACTTCGATTCTAGTTGGGTGAGACTGAGAAACTTGGCGTTTGATTTCACTACATCAATAACTTGACTAAGATTGATCATGGGCATTTTCTGCTCAATCTAAGTAGAGATGAGCAATTTTTATACGTCCACAATTTTCATGTGGACGTGCTATGCCGTCGCCCCTGTCCGTCCGGACGTCCGTCCGTCCACAATTGTTTGTGTACTCTCTACAGGTCACAATTCTTATCCGATTTTGACGAAACTTGAAATATAGGTTTATCCCCAAAAGATCTCGGCTGCTTTCGATATTGGCATGTATCGGATCGAAACTTCATGGATTATGGCCCCCTGATTGTACGAAAAATCACGTTTTTAGCTTGTGGACCCTATAGAGGTCACAATTTGAAATGTAAGTTTATAACCCAAAGATCTCGGTTCCTTTCGATATTCGCGCATATCGGACCGTAACTTCCTGAATTATGGCCCCTGATTGTGTGAAAAATCGCGTTTTTAGCTTGTGGACCCTATAGAGGTCATAATTTTTATCCGATTTAAAAAAACGTATTATGATATCACCGTTACACCCTAAGGAAGGCCGAGTTCAAATTTCATGAAAATCGGCCCAAAATTGACAGACAAAATGGCCGTTGTTCGTTCTCAAATAGCGTAAAAATATGGTATATCAAGGTTGTGGACCCTATAGAGGTCACAATTTTTATCCGATTTTGTTGAAAATTGAAATGTAAGTTTATAACCCAAAGATCTCGGTTCCTTTCGATATTCGCACATATCGGACCGTAACTTCCTGAATTATGGCCCCTGATTGTATGAAAAATCGCGTTTTTAGCTTGTGAACCCTATAGAGGTCATAATTTTTATCCGATTTAAAAAAACGTATTTTAATATCGCCGTTACACCCAAAGGAAGACTGAATTCGAATTTCGTGAAAATCGGCCCAAAATTGACAGACAAAATGGCCGCCGTTCGTTCTCAAATAGCGTAAAAATATGGTATATCAAGGTTGTGGACCCTATAGAGGTCACAATTTTTATCCGATTTTGTTGAAACTTGAAATGTAAGTTAATAACTATAAACTTCCGAGGCGAGAGTCGGCGTTAAGCAAGTCGCCGAAAAAGGCGCCGATTTTGGTCGTGCTGGCTTAACGGCGACTCTCGCGTTGTATCTAGAAACACGCCGATCTAAATGGTTGCTTTCAGCCACCATACTATTCTCATCATATTTTTATTTACATGTAACTGAGGTTACTTTCATAAATGCAGTATTATATATAATGTAGTAATTTAAATTGCTTAGTTTGATCTGCTGGTACTGGGAATTGAGCCCAGAATTTATTTAACAGTGTTTAAGACAATATCGGAACAAAATTAAAAGCAATAAGTTTCAAATTACAAAAGCAATTCCAAGTTAAATCGACATTTTGGTTTTGGGTAATAGAGAATTAAGTATTGAAAGCTTCACTACAACAAGGTGATATTGTCAGTAGAAAATAAAAATATTTTGTGTATTTCATTCTTTTACCTGGTCACAAAAATAGACATAAGTTATTTTACATACAAAATGTTAAACCAATCAGTTTTGGATTTTGACACAGTGTAGTTTTCTTTTTTAAGCTTAGAAATAAGGAAGAGAGAGCTGAGAAATAAATTACAAACTTATCAGCTTGGTAGATTATGAGAAGATGTGTACAGTTTGTGATAATTAATAAAGAGATGAGAGATTATTAGGTCATTATTTAGAAAATGCATTGTATATATATACAGTGTAGACTCAGTATAAGATGTGGCTTGACTATTGTTTATAGTAGACATGATTATTGAATAAAAAGGTGAAAGAGTAAAGGAGTTTGGCAAAAAGCCATGTTGAACTGTTAGAAGGTAGAAAACATATTTATAAGATTATACAGAAATTGATGTAATACATATGTCAGTAAACTCACCCAATATTTTAAAAATAAGATGCTTTGTAGAAGTTCATTATTTGTAATTATTAGAATAAAGGTGTTCTTCTTACTAAAATACTCCCAAACCAGATTAGTTTTAGAAATATTTACAACAAATATTCTTATAACAATATAATTTAAGGATCAATTGATAAGATCAGCAATTGCTTGTTGTGACTTTAGGAAACAATAAAGTGCCTCTCATGTCTAATATTTAAATTGTGTATATCAATCTGATTGAAACACTGTTTCTTTTTTTCATATTTCAAAATTTCGTTTTGCTTGTGTCAGTACACTAGGATTCAGAGGAGTTGCTATTTGTTAAATACCCGCGTTCGGGTTGATGTGAGGGGTTAGCCAATTAAATGGTCTGTCGGGTTGAGCTCCTAGCATACATAAGTGTTTTTTTTTTATGCATCCAAACGCCACCGTGGCTCCACTGGTAGATAACAAGCAGCACACATGCTCAATACAACCACTACAAAATAAAAACATCAGACATATTGATTATTTTGATTCATCTAGAAGTGGACGTAGTAAACCCATCTGTTAGACTACAACCCTATCTGTTTATTTGTTATACATAATTTTAGAAGTTGGGATTATCGGATAATATCTATAAATTATTTATAATAAGATAATAATTGATAAATGAGATAATAAGTACATAAAATATCAATGATTAAAACAAAATAAAAGTGAGTAAGAAGACAGCAGAGAGATTACTCACAAAATTAATGACAAAAGATGAAAACAATTATTAGCTTTGTGAACTTTCAGTGATTAGTATGGAGCATGTCTAGATAAAGGATGAATCATACCTTTATGCATGATTTCTTTAAATAATTGACACATTAATGTAACCATACAGAAGGACAAAGACAAGAATTTCCTCAGATGCTCTTGTTTATATCTTGTATAATTCAGTATGGTTGTGTATGTAGATTAGAATATATTTTGTAATTATTATACATGTTAAAAACTTGGATGTTTTATATTTATTAGTAATGTTTTAGGTGGCAAAAGAGACATATAGCCAATGTTTTATATTTATTTGTTGTGTTTTAGGTGGGAAGAGATCCATACCACAATGTTTAATATTTATTTGTTTTGTTTTAGGTGGGAAGATACAGCCAATGTTTTATATTTATTAGTAATGTTTTAGGTGGGAAGAGAGATATACAGCCAATGTTTTATATTTATTTGTTTTGTTTTAGGTGGGAAGAGAGACATACAGCTAATGGGAGAGTACATTATGTTAATCATATAACTAGAAGCACACAATGGGAACGACCTACAAGGTAATAATTTATGATACTATTTTAGATGTGCAGTAATGATGATGGGAATAAATTAAATGCCATTCAGAAGCTTCAGTTAAGTTGGTTTAAAAATGCTGTTAGTTGTAAAGTTGGGTTGAAGTTGTTTTCTGAACACAGAGGTGGGGAAAAAAATTAGTTTAAAAAGCTAGCTCGCTATATGTGTTTGATTAGGTTTCTTTCCTAAGAATGCTTATTTTGGCCATCTGAATGGGTCGGCTTAAAATTACCGGCTTCAGCTAGCTTAGGCTCATGCATACAATGTATTTCATTACTTTTTGGTGGAAATTTTGATTTTCATGTAGAATACGTGGGTGGGAAAATAACAATAATCAACTATAATGATGTCATTGGTGCTCTACTGTTGTTTGAAACCCTACTTGGTTAGTTTTTATATGCCCACATGGAAATGTGGTCATACATTGCCGTCCCTACGTCTGTCCGCCTTCCGTTGTCCACAATTTCTTGTGAACACTCTACAAACTACATTTATCATCTGATTGTTTTTAAATTGATATATGTTGTTTACATTAGTGAGATGAAGAATCCTATTTAATTTCAATAATTTCTTCTGGAGATATGATCCTTGTTTCAAAAGTTATTACCAGATCTGTATGAAATTTATATTCATCATTTAGATTAGTGAAACGAAGAATCCTATTGAATTTCAGCAATTTCCGTTGATTACGTCTAGAGTTAGGGCACTTGTTTTACTTTGTTGAACCTTGTGAATGCTCTAACAACAAAAGTTACCATCCGATCTGTATGGAATTCATATGCATCATTTAAATTAGTGAAACAAAGAAGCCGATTGAATATCAGCAATTTCCGATCTGGGTCGGACTAAACGTCCGCTACTTATTGCTTGATAGGTATCTAAAACAGTATAAAAGTATCTGTGTATCTGAAATGAACAGTACTCTTTCTGTATATTTCTGATACACGGATACTTTTAAGCATGTATTGAAAATAAACAGCACAGTTTTATCAAAGGTTGCCAGTGGCAACGAGTAGAAGTGGGATGTATATTATATTATTATATGTTAATTTGTTTATTTCAGACCTGCTAGTGAATCAGTACGTCCTGTTAGTGTTGTTAGTCCAGTGACTAGAGAAAGTCATATCTTTCCTTCTCCACCACCTCCTTCCTCCTCCTCCTCCTCCTCGGATAATAATACAACCAGTACTACATCTATACAACCACCCGATCCTAGTAATAATAATAATAATAACACACAAGGCAGCACTGTACATTTCATACGTAGAAGATCAGCACGACATCGTAATTATTTAAGTCGAGCTCAACTGCATAATGAAGCTACTTTACCAGATGGTTATGGTAAGGTTTTTTGTATTTACATATTTTATAACCATGCTCCTATATCTGAAGACTTTACATTGTAAATTGTTCATAAGCATATAAGAATACTACCAGTAATTAGATGAAAGCGTTACAATAACCAAAGAAATTTATAATATCAATATTGCCACATTCTCTGCATACATTTAGGGCAAATAATACTGAAATCTGACTTTATTTATTTATTACAATTTTTGATAGAATATCATCCGAACTTTGGGCAATGATCTGCAACAGATAGGCCAATTATGCATTTACAAGTCAGAAAGAAGAAATTAACATTGTTTATTAAAGCTGTTAGATATGAGATATTAAATGTGTTGAGTTATAGTGTTAGATATATATAAACTGTATAATAATGTAAACTATTGAGATATTAGATGTTTTGATTCTATGTAATATCAATTATTTATTTCAGAACAAAGAACAACACAACAAGGTCAAATATATTTCTTACATACTCAAACTGGCGTCAGTACATGGCATGATCCAAGAATACCCAGGTATTTCACATTTTATATTCCCAAATACAGGAAATATTAAGAAGCCTATTGATCTTTAATATTAAAGATAAATTATGTAAGATTTACAAAAGCCATATATTGTACAGCTTCCAAAAACATCATCCAGATGTGTGTGATTGTGAAAAAAGACAAAACATTTAACGACAGAGATAAGGATAGTGTGCAGACAGATCCTTTGATAGTCAGAATTTAAAGAAGATTAACTCAAAATCCTTGCTGTTCAGGTCAAATTCTCCCGCTTTTATTACAAGCCAAAAACATACCATATGTTGGTCTCAAAACATCTGAAGTATAGGTTGACATTACTTTAAACCCCATTTCATTCTAGTTAGTCTTCTGGTTATTCAAACATTATTTATGTGAGAAAATGTTTTTCGAGCCAAAATTTGTCTTATTGTTTTTATATAATTGATGAGATGATTTAAAATAGATAGGGTAAACTGATGCCAGTAAACATTATCATGTCTAAAACATATAAAAAAATGTTGTCAGTTTCCATGGTAAAGATATAGTGACCTACTTCAACAAATAGAACAGTGTTTACATGAAACAACTGGCCTTGAAAACCGATTTCTCTGTGTAATATAGTCTACAGTATAATATAGCATCTGTTTAGACCTGTCTTTAACCATCTGACTCACTTTAACATCTGTTAAATCATCAACTATATTATTCATCTTACCTATTCTCTCTACCAGGTGTAGGTTTTTACCAGGAGATAAGACATTATGCGAAACTTGTGTATTTTATTACAAGAAACAAACAGTTCTTTATTAAGCTCGTTTAGCTGCCTTACCTTATCTTTACTATTTTTATACGCCCACATTTTCATGTGGACGTATATTGTCGTCACCCCTGTCTGTCTGGACATCCGTCCGTCCACAATTTGTTTGTGGACCCTGTACAGGTCACAATTTTTATCCGATTTTGACGAAACTTGAAATATAGGTCTATCTCCCAAAGATCTCGATATTGGTATTTATCAGACCATAACTTCATGGATTATGGCCCCTGATTGTATGAAAAATCATGTTTTTAGCTTGTGGACACTCTAGAGGTCACAATTGTGATCCGATTTTGATGAAACTGGAAATGCATGTTCCTTTCAAAATTCGCGCATATTGGATCAGAACTTCCTGAATTATGACCCCTGATTGTACCAAAAATAGTGTTTTAGCTTGGTCCCTCTAGAGGTCACAATTTTTATCCGATTTAAAAAAAACATTTTAATTTTTCACCATTACACCCTAATGATTGTTGAGTTCAAATTTCGTGAAAAAAGGATCAAAACTGCCGGACAAAATGGCTGCCCCTTGTACGCCCCTTGTGGACCCTCTAGAGGTCACAATTTTCATCCGATTTTAATGAAACTCGGAATGCATGTTTATATCCCAAAGATCTCTTTTCCTTTCGATATTCGCGCATATCAGATTGTAACTTCCTGAATTATGGCCCCTGATTGTATGAAAAATCGCACTTTTAGCTTGTTTTCCCGCTAGAGGTTATAATTTTTATCCTATTTATAAAAACGTCTTAATATATCCCCGTTACACCCTAATGATAGTTGAGTTCGAATTTCGTGAAAATCAGACAAAAACTGACAGACATAATGGCCGCCCCTTGGATGAAACTTTAAATATATGATTTTATCATTCCTCTTGATAATCACACATATCTGAACGAAACTTCCTGGATTATGGCCCCTGATTGGTTGAAAAATCTCATTTTTTGCTTCTGGATTCTCTAGAGGTCATAATTTTTTTTCTGATTTTAAAAAACGTTTAGATATATCACCATTCCACCATAATGAAGGTTGAATTGGAATTTTGGGAAAATCGAAATGAAACTGTCCGACAAAATTTCCGCTCTTTGTACGCAAATTGTGTATAAGTATGTAATACAAAGGTCACAATTTTTATCCAATTTTGATGAAACTTAAAACATATCTTTATATTCTAAAAATCTCAGTCCCTTTTGATATTTGCGCATTTCAGACCATAACTTTCTGGATTATGGCCCCTGATTGTACAAAAAATCATTTTTGTTTTTAGCTTGCTCTCTATCCATCTCTTGCAAAATGTGGGTGTATCCTGCCTGGCAGCCGCTGGTTATACTGACAAGGGGAAACCATGCTGATAAATCCTGAGCAACTTTCTTGTCGTATACCAGGATTGAACCTAGGACCTTCTGATTAGTGAGCCAGTGCCTTAGTCACTGAACAATCTTGTCTCCCTTTCTATTGCATATGGTTTATACTTTAAACAGTATTTATTTCAAAGATATTGTAAAATGTAAAGGCTTTATGAATAAGATGTAAGAACAGCCAAAGAGGCTTATACTCATTTACATCTTTAATTGAATATGACTCAAGAAATATTGATATATGATATAAACAAGAAATCATTATAATGTTAGTTGCCCATGTTGAGTTTTAATTCCTTGTTTCTCACCAACAAAAAAATGCATTTTGATGAAGCTAGCGTATTCAAACAGTGTGCAGATTTTAGTTATTTACAAAACCGGTGCCGGTGTCAATTTTGCTTTCCATACCAGCTATTATTTATAGTATTACTGGATCTTATACACTCAAAAACCTACTTTCTTTATGCAACATAAAGTAATACCAAATTCCAGTAGTTAATTTCTCTATTCAAGCAATTCTAACATTTATAAAATAGTTATAGATAAAATGCCGTTTGACTAAAGCCAAGTGTCTGTTTAATCTCTGGGAAAAAATTGGCACCACTGGCTCTCAAAAAACTATATAACATCAATAAACACCACTGGCTCTCAAAAAACTATATAACACCAATAAACATTACATCAACCAGCTATAGATACATGCATTATTCAGATAATTAAACATGGATATAAATTATTCTTTAATATTAGAATAAACTGGATATACTTCTTTTAATACAGCTTTTGTATTGCAAATAATACGGTCTTCTATTGAACCCATAAACTTGTATTTATGGACTATTGAATACACCATCTAAACACTGTGTTCATATTGATTTTGCCCAAAATAAATAAGTTCAGATCCAAATTTGTTTTCACACTGGTAGGATTAACATTTGTGTAGCAGAGGAAACAGATTTGTTTGTTGATGAGATTTCTCTTTAACCTTCATATTATAACAACATGTAATTAAAGGCTTAATGTGCCATTTAGCGCTATATAAGATTCCCTTGCAAACTACGATATTGTGAAAGTTTGATCTCTAATATGAATATCAGTCCAAAAATGGTCCAATTCCTTTTAGTATTTATAAAATTATGATAAATTGAAATTTCCTCGATCTATGCTGCTCAAGCGTAATAAAAAGCTGCCATAGTTTATTGGTAGCAGAGATAAACCAATATGGGCATAGTTTAAATCTGATAGAATACACCAGAACTTATATAAAGGTTATAAGGTGTATATTAAATTCAGTATTAAAAGAGTTAGTAAATTGAGATAATATAAACATGTAAGACAAAGAACACAAAGTTTATATTGAACTGTATTTATATATAGATGTAAAGTATATAGCTGTTTATATTAACTTCATCTAATCTAAACTATCTCATTATCTTGTTAAATAAATAAAAACTACTGTAACATACAAATATCCCTTAATAGTCTTAACAAAGTTAACATTAATTATCACATTGGTCTTTACATTATGTACATTAATATTAATGATCTTTCGTATATTTATTCTATTGGTCTCATAAAACTCATTTTACTGAAAACTATGTTTAATTTCTGCCAAACATATAATAGGTAATTAAAATTGCTTTAATCTTGTAGACTTTGTAACCATGATGTACATGTATGATACTACCTGTAATTCCAAAGTTCACAAGTATATATGATGGCCTAGTGGTTTTGAGTGTCGTGCTTCAGCCTCTAAATGGCCAGTCACCTCTGATTTGCGGTTGTTTTTTTATTCCCTGGTGTGAGCGTGTGTGGCTTGGAGGTACACCGGTTTCTTCCCACAGAAAAGACCCCTACACGTGCGCTAAGATAATAAAAATGAAAATAAGACAACTTGTCTGCGAAATCGCATTTGGTGGAAGGGGACGTTAAACACTAAGAACAACAACAACTACTGTGGGATAATTATAATATCAACTATGATAGTGATGATGATATAAACTGTGATAGTGATGATTGTAACCATGATGCCTTATAAATGTACATTAAAGTTTGTTTAAAACTAAGGTACATGTACAATAGACGGTAAACTATTAAACATAATATACATGTATATTTTGAATATATTTACAGAGATATTTCGAACCTACAGTTAAGAGAGGATGATTTAGGACCTCTTCCACAGGGCTGGGAACCTCGAGTAACTGGTACAGGGCGTGTTTATTATGTTGATCATCATTCTAGAACAACACAGTTTACAGATCCCAGACTCTCCATTAATATTCGCCTTATCCAAGAAAAATTGTAAGTTGTCTAACCAAACTATTCTAACTCATCTATTTGAAAATCATCCCACGGTTGTCTAGGGCTAGCAGTAAATGTTGATATTGCCGATAATCGTCGGTAAAGCATTTTGAAGACCGATAATCGATACAGATTTAAAATATCAATAATAGCGCAATTATTGGTAGTCACGTTTGTTTTTCACGCGAGACGCCAGTGCCACAGAGTAAAAATGCCATGACTAAGGCCGCTTATGATGAGAGCAGATAGTTCCTCAGGATGTAATGCATTGTGGAATATTGAAATTATATAGATCTCATAGTGACAAAGTCAAAAACCTGAAATAAAGACACTATACTGTAAGGTGTTCTGTGCGCATGAAAAATCACTATGAGAAATGAACTGAATTCGAAATCAATTTCAAAGGGAAATTAACTACATTTTACTCATTGTTCTGATCATGAGTGACAACATACATCGAGAGGTGACGGTTCTGTTTTCCAAATGAAGTTGATTATGTCAAACTTCGACAACTTGGTTTTGGTATGGAATGCTAGTATTTATTGTCAATTCAATGAAACAAATTCTACATGTATAGCCTACATAATGATATTACAGCATAAACTCACAATGTTTTCAAAACAAATTGTTAAGTAAGAATAATTTGCCGATATTATCGATTATTGATCGGCGGATGGTCAGCGATTATTGATACTTGCCAGCCCTAAAATTGGTTGCCATGAATTATATCTTTATTTTTGTAACCAACGTTATGTAATGTTTTTATTATTTATCTGTATTTTGACATTTTGGAGTGTGAAACACATGTCATTGCTAATGATGCCTAATAGGTATGTTAGTATCTATATTTTTTTTATTCTTAAATTGTTTACAGAAAAAATAAAGAAAATGAACCCTTGCCTAAATATAAACGAGATCTTGTTCAAAAAATCAAATTGTTACGAAGTGAATTACAAGCATTAGCACCACCTGCTGGTCACTGTAGATTAGAAGTGTCGAGAGAAGAAATCTTTGAGGTAATCATATATTTACAACTAATCTATTTAACATTCATTATAACACAATTTTATAACCTTACTTCTTAGTTTATTACATGCAACATTTCAATACTCTTACATATATCTTTATCAAGCATCAGGCATCTTTATTTAGGTTATTTTTAGCTGATTTTACTCAAAATTTTATAATTGATAAAATAGTATAATGGTTCATTCATTGATTTATTGGCTATAATTTGAAGAGTATTGTTATAAATGTGAAGAAAGGAAAAAGTTTGAGACCTACATATTCATTTACTGCTAGGTACTTAAATATACATCATGCTTTCAATTATACATGATTTATTGTAGTCTAAAAGTAACGATTAGTCATTTCAAATGTTTAATTTTTGTTACAGGATTCATATCGCATAGTGATGAAAATAAAAGCCAAAGATTTAAGAAAACGTTTAATGGTGAAGTTTCGAGGAGAAGAAGGTTTGGATTATGGTGGTGTAGCTAGAGAATGGTTTTATCTTTTATCACATGAAATGTTGAATCCTTACTATGGTCTGTTTCAATATTCTAGAGATGATAATTATACTCTTCAAATCAACCCAGACTCTGGCATCAATCCAGTAAGTTTTATGTTATCATATAAAAAAAACACATATAGTACATTATATAATATTCATATAGTCTTATAAGAGAGATGTAATAGATTTAAATCATGTATTTTAATCATACAAACAAATACTTTTGTTTAAAAGGCCCAAAACATATTTTCTTTCTTGGGTAAAGTTTTAAAGAAAAATTCTTGTGGGGGGGGGGGTCATTATCTCTCATTTTCAGAGTGCAATGTACCATACATTATTACCACACAAAATTACAATCAGAGCTAGATCCCCTCTGAAAAAATTTCACAACAGATAATTTGATTATGGTTTTGACTTGCTTTCATTTGTTGTATTTCAGGACCATTTATCATATTTACACTTTGTTGGTCGTGTGATAGGTATGGCTATATTTCATGGTCACTATTTAGATGGTGGTTTTACTATGCCCTTTTATAAACAGTTATTATCTAAACCTGTAACAATAGATGATCTAGAAAGTGTTGATCCTCATTTACATAGAAGTTTAAACTGGATTCTGTAAGTCTATATTTATATGTTTATCCTTTGTAAACCAAAGACTTAATCTGAAACTGTTAGACAATCTGTAAGCTCCACAGAAATATAGTTATTTTATTTTTCCTGTATTTAAGGTGTTAGTAATGTCATTAAATTTGTGTTTGATATATTTAAATAACTGAAGTCTGTATCAAAATGATGGTTTTTAATATCTTTGATTAAAGGTTATCAGGCTGTGTTATAAAGCTGATAGAAAATATTTATTTATTTGTAATGATATTTGAATATATATAATATATTTCAGGGAGAACGATATTGAAGATGTTTTAGATCATACTTTTTCGGTAGAACATAGTTCTTTTGGTCAAGTACAAGAATATGAGCTGAAACCTGGTGGTAAAAATTTGCCTTTAACTGAAGAAAATAAAAAAGAATATGTAAAGTAAGTATTGATGTTATAGGAGAGAAGGATGGGTGGAGTATTGATGTTAAGTGGTACTGATCATGTTAAAGTAATCTACCTGATGATGGTTTGTGCACAAGCTATGTTTACAAGTGTTTATATGAATAACTTGAAAAGATACGAACCCAACCATATTTCAAACCAATCACAGGAGTTTAACATAGTTGTATAAATTTCTAGTGAATTTTAAAATTTATTTGAGCTTATTTGGATCAGTACTTACTGAATTTACTAAACTCCATAATAACACAATAATCTTACAATTCCATATAAATAAACAGAATATTGCAGCTCATATCGGTATAGTTTTTATTACCATTTACTTAGACTAAATCTCACACAGAGAGTACACTAAACTATCTGTACTGTACAGGAGATAGAAATAAAGATCAATGAAATTACTCTACATGTCTTGTAAACTCATCAAGTATTTTAACAATAGATTTATACATTGTTACACAGTTGATAATGATATCTCTAATATTATTATATTTATCTGTGGTTAAATATATCTACAGTTTTATTTTAGCTTTCTTATCATTGTTCATCAGTCTATTTTAGTTTACCTTCATTAGTTAATCATAGATGAAGATACAGTATTTAGTATGTGTTTAGTCTTTATTTACGTTGTTGGCAAGGACATACTAGTACTAACTTTTCATCTGTATTATATATTTTCTTATCCTTGTCTAAACTACTGTCATATATTTTGTGGTATTAGTAATTACGTATTGTTCATTCACATTTCTCTACCTTTATAAATAAAGAAAACAGAATAACAATCTTGACTGACTTTATCTGTAACTGGTCAGTTTAAGCTCTTTCTTTTTTCAGCCTTTATTTTTTTTTTTATGGAAATCCCAAACAATTTAAAAGTTGAATACATCATACTCGCAATTTAGTTTGATTCAGATAATCTTATTGATTATAATGTCATGTATTTACAGATTATATGTACAATGGAGATTTTTGCAAGGTATTGATGCCCAGTTTTCAGCATTACAGAAAGGATTTAATGAAATCATTCCACAACATTTATTAATGCCTTTTGATGAAAGAGAATTAGAGGTAAAAAAAAAAGAGTTTTCATTATTAAAATAAATTATAAGAAATGTCAGTTTGTTTAATTTGACAATATGGATTTACGCTGTATCTCAACATTTTCTGCAAATGTTTGGACAAATTAAGTTTAAAGAAAATGTTTTGTTGAATTCAGAAAGAAAAAAAAATTTTGTAACCTACCTCAAATTCATACTGGTTTTAATGGGCATCTGAGAGATTAAATTTCTAAAACTTGCAATAAAACCTACTAGAATTTGAAGATGACTACAAGATGACCGTCTAATGGGCAAAATAAAGACATGAAGATGACTACAGGATGATCTTCTAATGGGCAAAATAAAGATACTATCTTTAATACTGAATAATCCTATGTGTATAAATCTATGATATGAAGGTATAAATTATATATATTATATTACAGTTAATGATTGGTGGTTTAGGTAAAATAGATATAAATGATTGGAAGAAACATACACGGCTTAAGCATTGTACAGGAGATAGTAATATTACTAAATGGTTTTGGCGAGCTGTAGAAAGTTATAGTGATGAAATGAGAGCACGACTTCTACAGTTCGTTACTGGTAGTTCACGAGTCCCATTACAAGGTTTTAAAGCATTGCAAGGTAATTATCAACTTGGCCATTTTAAATATCAGCTTGACAATTTTAAATATCAGATTGACTGTTTTAAATCAGCTTAATAATTATCTAGGAACTATAAACATATTTGATCTAACACTGTTTACAATACATGAGTTAAAGATGTATATTGCTATTTATAAGGTTCAACAGGAGCAGCTGGTCCACGGTTATTTACCATACATCAAGTTGATATTAATACAGCTAACCTTCCTAAAGCACATACCTGGTAAGTATTATTCAGGAGGTTCAAATCTAGATCTTTGACTGCCACCGATTTGCTTGTGGATTTAAGAATGCTAATCATAAAATGACCCAGTTGTGTTAGATGTATTTTCATCCTCAGATCCTCTATTAAAAAATATTATCATATTTTGTTACAACCTTTAAAATATTAATTAAATGGTCGCCTGTCAAAATGACAGTCTGTGATAATATTTGGCATGTTAGTGACCAAGTCTGTCTGTTACAACAAGACCTCTACTTTCCGTCGCCAGTCACAACCTGTGTGATGCAAGTTGGGTGGAGATTATTACGAGTGTAGTCTTAGTGAAAAGTTTTCATGAAAAGCTGGTTTAACAACGAATGTTCATGTGCATAATTACAGAAGCTTCTCTATTTTCATGCCTTCTCGTGATCTGAGATCCACTGCAGACTATTTTGTAATTTCAAGATTAATGTATTTTGTTGTTGGTTTTTTTTTTCAGTTTTAATAGAATTGACATCCCTCCATATGAAAGTTATGAGAAGTTTTATAGTAAACTAACGTGTGCTGTTGAAGAGACGTGTGGTTTTGCTGTGGAGTGAGGAAGGGAGATAACTCTTTCTATTTAATCCAACTTCTGAAGACAACAGGGATCTCTGCAAACAATTTGTGAGAAACAAATTGATAACATTCAAATGTTGGCTAGGATTCCTAAAGGTTATTTTGACTACTGTTGCAAGATTTGAAATTGTTGACTGTAAATGGATAGCCTAATTGAACTTTGTGAGTGACAGATGTTAATCTGTGTAGAGCTGGGAACTTTTCGTACATAATTTGTACAATGTACCATCCATTATATTTTTTGTATAGATATTTAATATTTGTATATGATAAAAAGCCTGTTTTACCTACTGATATATAATATGTACATAGATTGTAATACTTGTCATTGTTTTTATCATATATATCACTTTATCATTTATTTACATACTCAACCACCTTTATTATTGTACAACAAACCTTGGATATGTTTGTCTCTAGGTCACTTTTCATTATTTCAATATTATTAAATATCTAATCAAATTCATTGTGAATTTATTATTTGTAATAAAAACATGATTTTTTAAACACATTCACAAAAACATAATGAATTGTAAATGAATTTTTTTTTTCAATTAATTCAATATTATGAATTGTAAATTAATTATTTTTTTTTGTGAAAATGGATATTTAATATTCAATTTGGACATTTTAGAGTCCTTGATGTAGTAAATAAATATTTTTTGTTTGTGTATGTGTAACAGTATAAATGGCATCATCAGATTGAATTGTATGGAAGAGGAGTACTTGGTTAATCATTTGGTTTTATATTTAAACTAACCTATTGTATTTGTATGTACTATAAGGAATTTAGCAGTTTGTTTTTAGCCTGGGGTTAGGTATTTTAAACCTGTAACTTGTTGATTGATACTGATAGTATAAATGAATGTCTTTTAAACACAGATATTGAGCTGGTATTATTTTATCTCTGTTTGCTATACATATTTTTTTAATAGGAATTAAATGATAAATATGGAATGAAAATTGTACTGTTTGGTGTATGTTTATATTTGTCATAATACTATCTAGTATTTAGTAAATTGATCTCAGGTTATATAAAGCCATGATCATATTATCAATTAACAGTCCCCTACTAACATGATGGCAGCCATTTATTTTAATATTATGGGGCAACAGCTTCAATTTTTCTTGTAGAAAGTGACCCCAAGTCAACCCAGATTATACAATGTTTGAAAAAAAGAAAATTGGCAAATTATATGAACCCCCAAACTTTAGCACTCACTGGTTAATACCAGCACAAATATATGAAGCTTGGTTTGGGTTTTAAACCTAGCAGCCATTTAGATGGAGTTTTATGTTCTAATATTTAAATTAAAGATATTAAAGACTACATTAACATACAATTAAAATAGATTTATTGAAGCTATGATGTTGAATCTTTAAATATCATAGCTTCAGTAAATCAAGTTTAAACAAAAGTTAATTGTTTACAATGTTATGGTTATATATTTATAGTGCTAAATGTCAGTTCTTGATCATCTAAAATACTTTACAAACATCTTCATTCTATCATCAAAACATTTTTTTTACAATAAATTGAGCCCATTTTTTTTTGGCTTGTACCAATCCTAGGGGCAACTTCCATCCACATTTTTATCAATTTAATTATCTTCCTGTGTTTTTGTTGTTTCTTTCAGTTTTGGTACATGTACTGTAATTTGTTTTTATTTATAAAAAAAAATAATCATATTTGTATCCAATATTTCTCAATCTATATTCTCAATGCAAGTCCATGTTGTATGCAAAACTGAAACCTGAACTGTGTGCAATATATTGTTTTCTATTACACTTAGGTTTTTAGTAGAGGTTTTTTAATGCCAATCTATAAATGATGAAAAAAAGGTTGTTAGAGAATTTCTACCGATATTTGTGATATGATTACAATTAGTGCCTTTTATCATTTTCTCCTTTAAACTTAGAAACACTACATCTTATCTGTGTATTGATATTTGTCTTTAATACTTTCTAAAACAGCCTGAATATAAAATAGATAGCGACTGTCTCTATATTAGTCTATATACAATACAAAATTTAACTGTCGTGTGGATATGTTTTATATAGGTATTTTAATTGGCGAACTATATTTATATCTGTAAATTTACAAAATTTCTACTCTTATCCATTATTAGAATCATCTGTATAAAATCTAGCTAGTAGACATTCTTATTGAAATAAAATTCAGCTGTTTTTATAGGCCTCTATTTATACTAGATATATAATCTGTACAGTTATGTGAATAAATTCATCATTTAGTAAGGTATATTATACAGAAAGCGGGTCTTATTAAGTTAATCTTTGTGCTCTTTCTTAGCTTTAAGCATTCATTGTCCTATTTTTTATAAATATATATATATGTGTGTATTTATTTTCTAAATGATTGCCTCCTCAATTCTTGTATATTTCTCTCATCAAAAAATAAACAATTGTCAATGAAACATAATGATGTTCAGCTGTTATTCATCAAATAAATTATGGTGCAATATAGACATGTGTAAGACAGTCTTGGAAGCTTCATCATACCACATTGCATTTAAGTCACCATATTTGAATATCATGCAACCTAAAGTATCCCACATCAAACTGCCCAGTCATAAAACAACTCCCGTCCTTCTTAAAATAAAGAAGCCCCCTTCACATGGGTGTAGCCAAGCCTTTGAAAACTGTACCCACAGAGGCATATAAAAAGGAATTTTTTAAGCAAACGTGTCTGAAAGTTTTGACAAATAGAAAAAGGGGTCGTGAACGAAACATGTCGTTTTTGTAAAGTGATTTAATATGAATCGGATACGAAATATTCTGATATTTTACTTGTTAGCAAGTCAAGAAGCAAACGTTGATAACTGGTGCTCGGTGTAAGGCACCAAATCATTGACACACTTCAATAATAAACATGCCATCTAAGGATTCACATGATTTATCCTAACCAGTTTGGGGGGTTGGATGGCCGAATGGTTAGCACGCGTGCGGTGTGTCATACGGTCTGTCATTGAGTCAACTGGCGGGGTTTTGATTCTCTGGTTGTATGTGACAAGGAGTAGGGTCGCCTTTCCAACCTCATGGGTTTTCTCCGGGTCCTCTGGTTTCCTCCCACTGCTAAAGACCCCTATGCGCAAGTGAATTATTGAAATAAAAAAAAATTAAACCATATGTTAGTCCCGAAATGACCTAGTTTGTGTCGAGTGGACGTTAAACCCCATTTCTCTCTCTCTCTCCCCTCACCAGTTTAAAATAAACAGAAGGTTCCACAATATTTATTATTTATAAACTTTTATTGTTAATCATGTAAGCGTACGTTAATTTAGTTCTGGCGGAACGTGTTAATGATGACAGCTTCGGTATTTTCTTTTGGTATTTGTTTCACATGCTATCAGTGGTCATGTGTGTTCATACCACTCAAGAAAGCCAAATAATTATGGCGTTTTTAGTCCACCATACATCAAGGTGACAGTTAAGAATGAACACCAATGTTATAATCTGTGTCTTTATTCCGCTTTGTGTCAAGGTTATAATTATTATTTTTCTGACACCCAGCCATCCTGTCAATTTGTAAAAGTGAATTCTACATTGAATTTTCATGGTGAACATCCAGTGCGTTTCAGTCAAATCACTGGATGCCAGTAAGTTATACATGTCCTTTAAGTTTTGTTTTATAATGGAACTCATTTTATTGCATTAAATTTCCAAAAGAAAGTCAGGAAATAAATGGGGTTTACCTTGTCAACAAAATACCCAGGTCATTTATTTCTTTGTTTATGTGTACAATGCGGGAAGGACAATTCCATCTACCAAAGGTTCTTTTACGTTCACTGAGAAGTGAGAACCGCGTTTGAGCCCGACGTTTTTCTCAGCCTAATTACTCAGGTTTTCGAACTCGGGACTTTCTAGAAGATGGTACAGAACTCTGTCGCTCGACTACCGTTACCTGTCTGTAATAGTAATTGTTTTGTTTTATTATGGTGTCGATTAGACAATCAATTCCAAAAGAATTTATATGTTGATTTTTAGGATGCCACAGCCCGTGTCCGAAATTTTACGCCCTAAAAAAAGGCCATTGCTGAGCTGTAAACGTAGCCTCGGCTATATCTGTGTCGGAGTTTAAAGCCAAAAACTGAAACTAATCGTAGTAAATGAACCGACTTACGCTTCTTTCGAAACAAAAATAAAAGTAACACATCAGATCAAGGCAATTAAATACTTTATTTTGGCTTAAAACTAAGAAATTTTGTTCTTTGTGAAAACAACTGTCTTATTTTTTAATTATTAAACAAATTATTAAGGAAGCACCCACTGTTATAGCATCGTAGCATGGGAGCTTGTATGTTTGAATCCTGTCCTGTTGGTACTATGTGTATACCTGTCAATAGTATGAATAACTGTATATGCTTACATACCGACTCCATGACCACAGGTAATAGTTATATAACAATAAGCTTCGAAACAGGGGTTTACAATGTTTTGTTGGCAGGGGCAGTAACCCAGCATAAAAATCCGAGTGATCTAGACAAGAAAATCTCAAAAACTCTAACAGTGTCAATAACCCCGCATAAAATAGTCTCTTCCTTTATACTTTAGCCGAACACTTCTAGCAAGTGCCAACAAAAATCTTCAAAACTCTCACACATGTTTACAAACTCTTTAATTTGGTCTTTATCGCTGTGTTCTAAAACACATATACAGTAATACCACGAAGTAATTAATGATCGAGGAGTCATTTTACTGCGATTATTAGACCCCGCAAGTAGTCATACCAAGAGTTCATTTTCAACACCAATTCACACACATATATATATATCAAAATATAGCTTTATTTATTCCCACTCTGTAAATTGATTAAAAAACATGTTGAAAATGTTGGTTCTTAAATTAATTGGTTCATTAACAGATACCCCAACAACCAACAATACGATTGAAGAACAAAATATGGTAGCAAGTGAGGAAGGGGATGCATCTTGTTAGATACATTTTGTCTCTGGACTATATCTGGTAGAGCAAATAGCGTGGTTGATTTCCGTTTTACACGTTTGCATGATTCGGATATATAGAGAATCTCCTACGAGTCTTTTTAGATATCAAAAAATATCAACACAAGTTGATAAAGTAACAAAAACGAGTGTTGATATTTTTTGGTATCAAAAAAGACGAGTAGGAGATTTTATTTATCACCCAATCCTTTCTTACGTGCACAAATAAATAAATATAATTCTTTGCTAAGACCTCACTTTTACAGAACCTGATTACATTACGGCGTAGTGATAAATCATTTTTTGACAGCAATTCAACCATTGCAAAGTCCTTTATATTGACCCAGTGTTTCCAAAGTCAATTTAATAAAAATAATTCATTTTTAATAAAAAAAAAAGAAAAAAAGAAGTTACTTTTAATAAAAAATGAACTGTTCTTTTGAAATACAAAAAGTGGTCCCTTTTTAACTGACCAATCAAATTCATGTAAAGCGATATCTGCTAAGGAGATATCGGAGTAGATTATGAAATTTATCACACAAGCGATATCTTCTGTAGAATGCAATACATCTAGCGTAGAAAAAGTGTAGTTGCCTATCCGCCGGGCAACCTCCTCACTTGACAGTTTGATAGAGATCGAGGTAGGGGCTCAAATTGGAATGAGCAACTTGGTTTAGGGAATCCCATGGCATCTTTGGCTATTAAACAACATTTGGAAGCAATCAAAATTGAGCAAAGTGTGGCTATGGTTGTTCCGAAACAGGCGAAACCCCTGTTTTTAGAGAAGATATTGAAGCATTCTCGATATTTAAAGTTCCTCCTGTCTAACTCTAATTTATCTATAAAGGAACAATGTTTATAAAATAGGGATGATGCCTACTTTAGGTTCATAGGCTTTTCAGGGGATAGAGCTGGCGATCTTGGGAGATTGAGAGCAGAAAATGTAAGGTACTTACCTGATAGCGGAGGGATATTAATTCATATGGTGGAAGGGAAAACTACCCAGGGAACGTCGAGAGTTTTTGTATTAAAGGACAATATTAGTGCCAGTCATTATCACATATGTGATAGAACTGGTTAAACACGTTCCAAATATTATTTTATCACAGAGATCATTGCTACGATAGATGAGTAATCAATGTTTCAACAATAGGAAGTGACGAACGCAAAAGGAAAACACGAGTTATCCCTTTATATAACTGAATGAAGTGACGGGTGATAACAGATAAATAATCGAATTTCTGCTCACTAATAATTCCTTCGAAGACCAAAAGTTGTTGTATGGGACTGAAAGGATATCTGACAATTCATAAACAAAATTGACTGTCACTAGATAAGAGAACATGAAAGAAAAATTGAAAAAGTCCGTGCATTACCATGTTTTTATAAGTATAGAATGAATAAACACCCGTGAATGTAAGGACTGTTTCTATTTTTCTCGTGTTCTCCTATGTAATGACATGCAATTACTTTTTGGAATTGTCAGAAATACTCTTACAGTCTCATATAACAACTTTTTAGTGAGCAGAAATTCGCCCATTATCTTGTTATCACCCGTCACTTCAGCCAGTTACATAGAGGGATAACTCGTGTTTTCCTTTTATGTTCGTCACTTCCTATTGTTGAAACATTGATTATTCATCTATCGTAGCAATGATCTCTGTGATAAAATTTAATTTTCAGCGTTTCAACGTATAGCTGAAAATAGTTGTCTGTTCGTAGGTCATGACACATGAATATTAATTAGATGTGACATGCACGTGCGTGCTTGTCTATAAGTGTGTGATGTGTCATTCTAGCTTCTGTCGTCGACTTGAAAACTACAAGTTTCAACAATGGATCAGGCGGCAATATCAAGTTTTATATCATCTAAAGTTTTAGAATCACAGTCATCTATGTTAGATAAAATAGACAATCTGATTTCAACCAAACTGAATGTATTTCAAAAACAGATTAGCGAGAATCAACGAAATCTAAGTGAATCTCAGGTAGCTCGTATTGAGCAACTAAGTCAGACGTCATATAAATTTAATAAGAAGGGGAATGAAGAGCAACACAAGGCCAACTCAAAAGTCGCCCAGAAATTGTATGAAGCCAAATATTTACTACAAGATAATTTTGAAGGCGCGATCGCCGATGAATTGAACACCAAGATTAGCGAAGGTATAGACGTCATAAATCACCGTCAGAAACTGATCAAGTTAGCTGATAGTTCACAATATGGATGTATGGCTGCAGAAGAATATGATCTAAACAGCATCGCAGATGATACCGACGATGAAAAGAAGATCCAGAAGGCTGAATCTTCTGCCTTCCGTAAAGTCAAAGCGAAGCAGCGTCGTTTACCAAAAAATCGGTTTACGCCATATGTAGTCCACAACCAGAGATCTGAGCAACTACAGACCAACCATAGAAATTTCAAACCTGGTTTATGTTTTGCATGTGGGAAAGCCGGCCACTGGCGAAACGAATGCAGGGA